AAGTAGATTAAAATCATAATAATTAAAATTATTTTTTAAATTCATATAACTTCTTAAATATTCATTCTAAATATTAACTATCTAATATTAATTTGTAGCTCATGTTATGATCTTAGAACATTAACAAATATTTACTTGAACTCGAACTGAACTTTTGGTCAGATTTGAGTTTGGTTTAAAATTTGAACCAAACTCGAACCAGACTTTTAATTAGGTTCAAATTTTTGAATCAGACTTTTCGTCAGGTTTGAGTCCAGTTCAAGCTTGAACTGAACCAGACTCGAACTGAACCAGATTTTTTTTCAGAACCCTAGTATTTTACTTTAGAACTTCAAAAATTATGATACAAAATAATAAGCCTTTTAAGTGATTATCTTTTAAGTCAATAATAATGATTTATTATAAGTAATTTATCCTTTAAGACCAAAAATCAATACAAAATATAATTATACAAGCTATTATCAAAGTTTTATCAATACAAAAAACTTATTGATTAATTCTAATATAAAAAATCTAAAACTAAAGAAATTATTTAATTTGATCTAAAATACATGTTATATTTATAATAATTATTCGTAATATTTATATTACTAATTTGTAAATTAATTTTATAGATTATTTAATTACAAGTATTATTAGTATTACTTGATATTTATACAAATATTATTAATATTAATATGAATATTATTAGTATTTATACAAATATTAATATTATTAATACAAATAAAAGAACCAATAATAAAGTATTAATTAATTATTCAATTAAATTAAAACTAAATTTTAATCAATATAGCAAAATCTTTAATTAAATTATAATATAAATTAATCAATGAAATAAAAATTAAATATTTATATTATAATAATATTCATAAAAAAAGACTAAAAATAACATCTCAACTAGTTGTGACTTGTAATAATCAATTAGAGAATTATAATATAATTACAACTAGTTGTGGCTCTTATCACTAGATAAAACATCAAAATATTTTTATTAATTTAAGAATAATTAGAATTAATGAATTAACAAAGTAAAATAACAATAGAATTTACTAAAAATTCTAAAGATCTCCCATAATAACTTGTATACAAACTAACTTAATATTACAAACAAAAATAGAAGAAATATTTTCTACTTGTATTCAAAATTTGAAGATAATCATAAAAATAATAATATATTCACAATTATAATATTATATGTAAAAACTTTATTATTTTTATTAGATCAAATTATGAAATTTTTAGTAATAAGAGACTCTTTTTTATATATTTTTAATAATTTCTATAATTTACATAATTATTAATTATTCTAGATCATATCATTATTTATAGATAATATTAAACAATATTAAAAGAAGAACAAAAACTAAAGAATAAATAAAACATTATATATAATAATAAAAACTAAAATACAAAAGAAAATTAATATAAATTTAGTAATTAAAAATAAGAAAAATTATAAGGCTGCAGTAAAAGAAAGATTTTAAAGATAAATTATAAGAAAGACAATATTAAAAATAGTAATGATAATAATAATGAAAATAAAAATGAAATGAAAAATAAAATTAATATGAATATAAGTGAATAAAGATAATGAAATTCAAATTAAGAATGTTGTGAATAAAATATAAAATTGTGAATAAAATATAAAATGTACCAATAGCAAAGATTGGGAAGAAAAATAAAAATAAAAATTAAAGTATGCAAGAATGTAATTCATTGATGATTAAGTGATATTTACAAATTACATGTACATGTATATACATGTACTAAATTTGGTTGTGTAATATCAAATAAAAGATCAAATCAATTGAATTTGAATGAAATTATGATATATCATAATTTGTAATATCATAAAAATTATGGAATTACGAAATTTTTGTTGAGAATGCTAACAATAACTCAAAGATTCTAATAAAAAAACACCGACTTTGATCTTGTACAAAAAATGATATAATAAGATTAATCACAATAATTATTATAAAATAAAATGACATGAATAATAAAAATAATTACACGCCAATCACACCATTAAGTCTCCCCGTCCACCAATCATTCTTATCCTCAGTCCAGTCATCCTTTTTTAAAAGTCAAATCGCCATCCGCCCGTGCATCGTAATCATATAGTGCTATCACGTATTTGATGGCTGGTTTTGTGGGGTGGCGACGCTGACTCTGCATTGCTACTATTGTAATCATTATTGTTAAAATTGTTATGAAGACTGACTACTCTGCTAGTGGTAGCACTACTTTTCATTGTTGTTATTTATTCCTCTTGATATAATTAGTAGGCGAAGCTGTGTACGGCGGTGGCATGTCGTCTTCGTGGTCGTATTCTTCTATCTCGTCTACTAATTCTGTGCCGTTTTCGAACTGCCTGATGACCGTGAATTTAACGGTCGTAATTGTGATTGTTCAACTTATAAGTCTGCTCGCAAGAACGAAGCAAAATATCAATTAAAACGCAAGCTATTTTAAATACATAAAATATGCAATTACTCAAAATAATCCCATATCCCTCTTACCACTATTACCACATTACGTCGTTCCTCATGTTTTGCTCGTCGTCCAAGCAGCGTCAATACTTTCATCTTTTCCTGAATATCCTCACGTCTCTCATCAAACCCGGTATCCACTAAAAGGTCCATCTGGTCCAGCAAAAGACCATAGATTTTCAGTTGCATGTGATAGAATTCCTCGAAAATAGGTTCAATGAATTGGGTACGATA